TATATATATATATATATATATATATATATATATACACAAACACACATATATTATAAAACCACAATTCAAGACTAGCATACTACAAAACAAAATATGGTCTTTGAACTGTATCAAAACATTCACCTAGTAGGTAGAATTACAGGTTTAAATACTGCTCAGTTTCAGTTTTAACTTGAAATGAAATGTTTTATTTGCAACACAAAAAAATTACATTAAGCATTACAGTTAAAATAATCATTGTGATCACATATACATTTTACCAAAATGAGTGTAAACAACAACATCTTAGCTGTTGATTTAACTGATAATTATTTTTGAAGTAAAAGAACTTACGGTATTGGTCAGTTTTTACATTGACGGGAGGGGTAGCAGCTCCCTCGCCACGTTTTGACTTTGCTGCCACCCATATATGGTATAGTGTATCTGGATAAAGGTTACTTAGAGTATATGAGTTGATTGCTGGAATGGTACGATGGTATTCTTGTTGGGTAAAAGTATCATTCCAGTAAAGCTCATAGCCAATAATACTCTCGCCTGAATGTTCTGGGTGGCTCCACTGTAGTTGGACTGTTGTGGACGATGTTGATTTGGCAACTAAGTTAGACGGTTGGCTTGGCACTGTATACAGGAGAATAATAATAAAGAAAATTCTATCACAACATAGTCAAAAGATTGTAGACAAAAGCTGATTTTACAACTAGGTTAAACAAATAACTAAGTACTATTTACAAAATACAACACAATAAAGTTCTAAAACTATGTACAGTAATATAGTGATGTTTAATAGGTACTAGAAAATTAATTATTGTGCATGTATGTATAATAAAAATTAAATACTGGAAAATAAAAATTCCACTTGCTCATTTCTTGTAATAGGCTTACCTCCTTGTTGAGTCTTTACTTGTACTGGAGCAGACAATGGACCAGGTCCTCTGCTGGTAAATGCCTGGACACGGATGGTGTAGATCGTCTGGGGTGTCATGTCACTGACTGTGGTTAAAGTACTGCTGTCAACATTCTGGGTATCCCAGTTAGTTGTGGGAAGATTGGGTTGTGTAGTAAAGTATACTTTGTAGCCCTGAAGACAGTGATATGCCAGTTGCAGTAGCAATTAAGCAAGATTATTAGAAAAATACTAAATTTGCTAAATGAAATGCACACCTGTGTAGCCACAGTTTACAGGATTATTATATTAATTTCTGATATAATATGTGGTTAGAAACTGTTTATGAACTTTAAATACCTATTTTAGAAGGAATAAAAGTTAAGCTCTACAAAATTCCTTTCAACAATGAGTTAGTTCATACTTGAAACCATCGGTGCTTGGTGAAACTCCATAATTACAGAATTGAGGAAAAACTATTGTACGTTTCACAAATACATCATTCATTCACAACCATGGTTTCACCAGTAAAGGCCTGATGATGCCTTTACTGGTGAAACCATGGTCGTGAATAAGTTATGTATTTGTGAAACCTATAATTGTCTTGTTTTTCTCAATTCTGTAATTAATTAGTTTCTTATTGAAGTTATGTTGACTGTTTCACAATTTACAAATTTACATTTCTATTTATTTTAAAGGCAAAAAGACCCTGATTCTTAAGCCTGCACTAAACTCTGGTGTCAGTAATATCTTTCAGTGAAATTTTGCATTAATTTCTGAAATCAGTATGATACTAATAAAAGCCTAATCTCTGTTATGTCATGTAATGAACCATAGCATTAGTAGGGCCCCTGATCTGGAACCTTTATGTCAACAGAGTCCTAGATCAGAATCCTGCACTACCCTGATGTCAGTAGAACTTTATGTTAAATCTTAGCATTATTATGGCCTGATTTGGAACCTTGTACTAAACTCTGTTGTCAAAAGAATTCTGTTCCAGAACTCTGCAATAAACATTGGGTGTTAAAAATGTCCTAATTTAGAATCTTGTACTAAACAATGATGTCAGCAGGATCCTGATAAGGAACTCTGTTGTCAACAGGATCCTGTTCCAGAACTCTGCAACAAACATTGGGTGTTAAAAGTGTCCTAATTTAGAATCTTGTACTAAACAACGATGTTAGCAGGATCCTGATAAGGAACCCTGTTGTCAACAGGATCCTGTTCCAGAACTCTGCAACAAACATTGGGTGTTAAAAATGTCCTAATTTAGAATCTTGTACTAAACAATGATGTTAGCAGGATCCTGATAGGGAACCCTCTTGTGAACAGGATCCTGTTCCAGAACCCTGCAACAAATCCTAGGTGTTAGTAAGATATTGATTTGGAATCTTGCACTAAATCCTGGCATTAGTAGGATCATGATATGGAACCCAGACCTAACTTTGATTCCAACAGAATCCTGAATTGTTCGGATATCTGTTATCAATTATTCTTGAAATCAGTAGGAGGATTAAAATGACAAATACTGTATTGGCATCAAATAGTGTCATCATCTTTATACTCACTGTAACTTGGCCATTAGGTTCTTTAGGGGGGTCCCACTGTATAACAACTGTGCTTGAGCTTAAAGGACGAGCTTGGACATTTCTTGGTGCGCTACCTGGCTCTGGAAGAGAATCAGCCCAAAATTTGAATGATGATAGAAAATAACCAAGCAGCATCTAATTACAACAAAAACTATGATATTTTGGCTTTAAACAAAAATTGAGGTTGATAGGCTTTCTTTTGAGTTAAAAATATAAATCATAGTCGAACAAATATACATATAACAAAACATGAAAGGAAATAAAACATTACATTAAATTAAAGGACAACATCTTTTGGTCCATCTAAGCTGTTCTATACACTAAATCAAACTAAACCATAAAAAAAACCTTCAAAGCCAACCCTTATCATTCAAATATTTATCAAGCTTTCCATTAAACACTCTTAAGTTAACTGCATCCACCATATGCAAGGGCAACCTGTTCCAGAGGCCAACCACCTTGTTAGAAAAAAAAAGGTGTATTAGCTGAAGATGACTTCTTCCGTGCCAAAATTTATACTTGTGTTCCCTAGTCTTACCATTAAATATGAAAACAAATGATGCATCAACACTATCGATTCCCTTAACAATCTTAAACACCTCAATCAGATTCTCTCTAACTCTTCTCTTTTCAAATGAAAACAAATTCAGAGATCTTAACCTATCCTCATATGATAACATTTCCTTCACATGTATCATCCTACTAAACTCTTTCCAACAATTCAGTGTTCTTTCTGAGATAAGAAGCCCAATACTGAACACAATACTCCAAACGTAGCCTAATAAATTACCTATACCAGGTGTCGGCAACCTTTCAAAGAGCCATTTTTTGTTTTTGTCTAAGACCAAAACAATTCTACAATCAGGGATTCGATTCCCCTCAGTGGATACAGCAGATAGCCTGAAAGCCACACAAATCTCCTTAAAGAGCTGCATGCAGCTCGCAAGCCACAGGTTGACAACCCCTGACCTATACCATGATATAATCTCTTTAGACTTGTATTCAATATGTCTGTTGGTACAACCTAAAATCCTATTTGCCCTGCCACTAGCAACAGATTGCTTTGATGGTTTAATAGACTGATCAACCATAACACCATGATATTTTTCTTCCATAAATTGTGATATCCCACATGCATTTAATATAACTAAAAGCCATCTGCCATTTATTCGCCCAACTCAAACAAATAATCCAAATTCCTTTTGTAAGGCAGTGGCATCCTCCTCACAGCCAGGAACACTACAAAAACTTTTATGTACATTCAAGCAAA